TATAATGTCCAGATAGTTATCAATTATTTCTTAAGAGAAAACTTTATTTTTTATCTGTTATTTTTGGTAATTAATCTCTGTACGAGTTTGGTAGATTTGACCAATCTCGCATTATATATGTATATAGATTATTGCTATTTTGAAATAAGTTCTTAAACATATTTTTTCTTAAAACATAGAACAGTAAATAAAGAAGTAAAGCAAACAATTATCTCTTCTAGTTACGACCTTTGTACTTGGTTTCCGTTTGATGTAGGTTCCTAAGCCTTTATAAATATTGCACGTGGAGCATATGAAACAAACCAAAAATTTTAGGTTCTATATATACAGTTGAATAACTAAGAAATCATTAATTACTACATGATTACTACTATAATTTATCAGGCTTAATAACTAAGATGTATTTTAGTCTAAAACTAGGAAACTAAAGACACCCTACCTCCTTGAAATTTTGGTTCAAAAGAAATAAATGGCATCCTAAGAATTTAAAATGGCTGAGAAAGCCATTAGGGAGACATTCTGAGCTTCCGATTGGTTATTCATGTCATATATATAAGGGAGCATTTCCAAAAATGAAAAGAGGTGGATGGGGTGTTTGATTCATTAAATAAATGATATCTCAGCAAATAGAAAAGATAAGACCTTGTTATATATTCCAGCTTGTCAGTATCTGTAATACGAGTTTCTAATTTGTACGAAACTATAGACTTAGTATTTTGACTTCACAATCATCAATTTGAACAAGTGCTGCATTCAACATACCACGTGACACACAAAATCGATATTTATCTGTGTTTTTATAATATTTACTTTTAAATTAAGAAATTGAGTAATGTATAGTTCTAAAATTTTAATTATAATCTACAGTTTAACACCAAACTTATTGACAAAAATTCATAAAATAGTGGTTCAATAGAATTTTGAATGTGAGTCAACAAATGTGGTGACATGGCCTTTCACCTGTGCCCCATGTGGAAAGGGTTAACAGCCAGTTAGGTTTAGCACAAACAGCAATACCTTTAACAACTTTTTTGTTATTTTCGTTATAGATATAGTTCACTGTATATAATATTTCATGAATTTATGTCAATAAGTTTGGTATCAAACTTTAGATTATAATTCAAATTTTAGTATTGTACATTATAACTTAAAAGTAAATATTAAAAACACAGTTAAACATCAAATTTTGTGTTTTATGTGGTAAGTTGAATGCAGCACTGGTTCAAGTTAGATTTTTGTTTTTGTGATGTTAAAATACTAAGTCTGTAGTTTCATACAAATTAGAAACTGAAATTACAGATATTGACAAGCTAGAATGTATAATAAGAACCTCCTATCTTTTCTATTTGCTGAGATACCACTCATGCAATGAATGAAACACAGTTGGCCCCACTCACATCTTTCCTTTTTTGGAAATATTCCCTTATATATACTTACTTCAATATATGACATGTGAATAACCAATTGAAAGCTCAGAATGTCCCCCTAGTGGCTCTCTCAGCCATTGTAAAGTGTTGGTATGCCAATTGAGGTAAGGTATGTCTTTAGTCAGCTCATAATTTTTTTTTTAGACTGAAATAAATCTTAGTTACTGAAGGCTTAGCTACCGAGTGCAAAGGGCATAACTAGAAAAGATAATTGTTTGCTTGACTTCTTTACTTACTGTTCTATGTTTAAAGAAAAATAAGTTTAAGAACTTATTTCTAAATAGTAATAATCTATATAATGTATAATAATTGAAATGTGATTGTATTTTACAAAATACTAGTCTACTAAAACACAGTCAAGATGGGTCACTTTGTAAAGATTAATGGTCAGTTTTATATTATTGGATATGGTAACATGAGAGCACATGTGCTGCATCATTGTAACTTCTGGATTGTTAGCCAGGTCAACAAAAATAATAAATATGTATAATGTTATGAGATTTAAGCTACTTAGTTGTATTATAATTTGTTGTCATTCTAGAAAAGAAAGAGGCATAATTTGTATATATTTCCTAATTTTTTATGGTGGTTACCAGATGGTCAAATCTACTGAACCCATACAGTGATTCGTTAGTGAATATAAAAAATAAAATATAAAGTTTTTTCTTAAGAAACGTTTGACAACTATCTGGACACTAAAAATTTGGCATGTGAAATTAGAAAATTTTCTGATGCATAAAAGTATTATTAATCTTAAAATGAAATTACTTTGCATGTTGGACAGGCAACATGCGAAAAGAAAAAAACATTGCTTTACAAACATTAATACTTAATACAAAAAGAATTGATATTTTGCATATGAAAGCATTGTAATGTTTACTGATAACTTGCCATATTTCTTTAACATGTGCTTACTAATTTAAAAGTTGTAGCATGAAAACTATAACAAGCACAAAATGTTTACAAGGTTGGTCCCAGGGACTGAGCCCGGGCTGAAAGAGTTAAACAAATCATAAAAAGGCTGTCAGATGAGAAAAATCCAATAAAAATGTTCAGAATGATAGTTGGAGTTTGAAGATACTTCAGGAGGAATTTCTAAAATGAAATGTTTGTGGGCAGAAAAGAGTTAAAACCAAAAGTGTGCTGGTATCAATTAATATTTTCTGTCTAATTTTTTTTTGCAGATTAATCACATATCAGCCTCCAGTGAAAATAGTAAGTTGTAGTATTTATAGTGTTTAAAAAATCTAATTGTGAATTTTACTTTTACAGCAATAAGACAAGCCATCTCTAAAGCCCTTGTTGCGTATTATCAGAAATGTAAGTATTGTTCCAATGATACATGTGTAAATATATAATAATTATTTTTTTTTTATTGAACTTTTGATGAATGTCACGTTTAAGTTTAACTGTACCGGACAAGAACAACCAGGTATAAAAACTTCATTGACTTATAATTTACCAGTAATTAAATTGTGACTAACTATTAATGAAAGTAAAATTAACTGTTATTACAAATGGTGTTTGTTACCGAATGATGTCCTGAAAGTAGTTGTTTGGCCTTTCAGTGGTGTCATTATTGTGAGCATTTTACCCATCTCTTAGAATAAATGTGTGGCCATTGTTAGGAATGAGTTCCATGTGTGACTTACTAACAACAGGCCTTAGATCACCTGAGAAATGCAATGATGAGAGTATGGGGAACGTTTTGCAGAAATTGTTTAGTGACTTATAAACCACATGCAGTAACACTGTAGAGCTGTATTAACAGTGAAAGATGAACCTTCTTGCATTTGAAAAACTTGTATTTATGAGCCTTATTATTGCTGCAAACACTCCCAAATTGTGTGGTTGCAAACAGTTCACAGGTTGATTTGTTATGGTTTTGCTGTTTTATAATAAATTTCACTTTTATAAGTTTTATAGTTATAATTTATTTGCTTGTAAAATATATTCTAGTGAAAACCTGTTAACATATTATTACATTTTATTACTATTGTTATTATTGGTGATTTCCCATTCTTTTAAAATTGTTTATAAATATGAACTCTTAGAAAGGTGACCAGTAAAATTGGAAAGTTTTAGTTATATTTGTGTAAAAAAATCTAACTGTAAGCAATACATTTATAATTCATGACTTACTCATTAAGTTGTTTGACTTTTGGGCAGATGTTGATGAAGCTTCAAAGAAAGAGATTAAAGACATTCTGATCCAGTATGACAGAACTTTATTAGTGGCTGATCCACGTCGTTGTGAGCCAAAGAAGTTCGGTGGACCAGGAGCCAGGGCTCGTTACCAGAAATCTTACCGATAAAATCAAATGTTTATTATCTTAAGGTATATTTGTAACTTCAGTCGAGCCTTAATAAACATTTGCTAACAGTGGGAGCTTATTCTTGAAATTTTTTTAAGTAGCTTCATGAAGATGTAGACTGAGCACAAAGAAGGAATGAAAATTCATTCTGTATATTTATCATACCCTTTAAGAGGTGAAACATATATCTATTAATGTTGATAAAATTCAAACACTAGTATAATAGATAGACAAACAACGATTATTGATGGTGGAACATACAACTTATTTCAACAGAACATTGGTCTGTCTTCTTCTGAAGAAGACAAACCAATGTTCTGTTGAATCATGTTGTATGTTCCACCATCAGTAAAACTTTTCCTTATGCTTAAATCATTGTTTGCCTGCCTGTTATATTGGCATAATGTGTTTACTTACTCAAGTAAACTACTATATTGCTGTAAAATAACAAATCTATGAACTTTGATCAATGTTTCACTCTGTAGGCATCACAAAATACAAGTTTAACTGTTATATTTGCATTGGTATGGACTTTGCACAATTTGAAACTATAAAAATATAATTACATATTACAATGACATATAACTAATACACACAAAAGGTTGTATAAATGTTTGTGCTTATTTTCAGTCAGAGTAGACTGCATTCAAGAGGAGTGATATAGTAACACATTTTTTATTTGTATTGTTATAAAATAATGTATTATTATCTTGCGTGTTATTAAGTACCAAGTTACTGGAGTTTAAAGTTTTTATTAATTTGAGTAATTTATGTGGAATGTATATTGGCTAAAGGATACTTTAACACTAGCTTTAACAGTGAAGGTTGTGTAGAAATATTGTCTGTGTAATTTTAGCACATTTTACAATAGCTGTTTTCATGAATTCTTGTGAAGTTTGTTTGCTCTTTTTCTCAGTTTTTACTCAGACTTTCTTGCATATCACAATCAAAGAGAACAAGGTGGAAATCTACATTTATTCTTAATTATACACGTTGCCTTGCAAAATTATTGTAAAAACTGAATTATCTTAGTAAAAAATAGAATGATCTCATAAGATGAAAAAGTTGAGTACATTTCGAGATAAATACATTTGATCATAATACTGAACTAGAAATGAAAACTAGGATTACCAATTTCATGTTAAATAAATTCTAAAAATACAAGAAAAATATATAAGAAAGTATTTATACACACATGGCATGTGAGAGATCTTAAAGATTAGTTGAAATAATCTTGCTGTATTTTATTCTTAGACTTAAATTAGTATTTCTGTTTCAGAATGGCCAGTTTTCAAGCTTTTAAGCTGTTTTTCTGTAAAAAAAAAAAAAGCTGGCTACAAAGTCACTGGGATTAGCTTTTTTCTGCTTCTGAAAGAAAACCTCTAAGTGGCCAGCTTGGCAGTTACCACACATGTAAACTTAAACAAAGGGTCTTTATACAGTGTATGCAAAGAATAATCTCAGTCTCAAGGATGGTTGAAAAATTAAGAAATTTGTCTTTCACAAATATAATATTTGGCAATTTAAAATAACATGCTGGAAAGGGAAGAAAAAGAAAATAATGGAAAACCTGGAACTTATTTTTATACATTGTTAATATTCACTGTTGTGGGTTATTTTTTGTGTTTAAAGGATTGGGGGATGGGTGTTTGTTTTTCACAATATTTTGTAAAACATTGATTTGCAACTATTATATCATCAACGTGTAAAAAATGATGCCAGTTTGTGGCTTTCCAGTGTGATTAGCTGTATATATATACATATATATATATATATATATATATATATAGTATATATATATATATACAAGATAACACGACGTACGTACGTAGTAGTACTATAGTACAACGACCGTAAGTTAGTATTACTAAACTATCTAGATACTACTACTTT